AGGAGCCCAGAGGAGGGGGCAAAGGAGGTGAGGGGGTGGGGGCAGAAAGTGGAAATGAAAGCAGACAACAGAAAATTGCTAGAGAGCAGGAAAGGAGGTGAAAGGAGACAATTTTAGAGAAGAAAATTTTTCGGTCGTTACCCGGATTCGAACCCGGGACCTTTGAATGAGAGGCCAACACCTTAACCTCTAGGCCACGAGAGCCCCCTTACCCTCCTTAGAGATAAAGTGTTAAAAGAAACATATTATAGCCACAGCGATATATATATATATATATATATTATATGTATCGTTGTGGCTATAACATTTCTTTTATATAAAATATTATACTATATAAAAGAGTGATACCTCGGTGTGGATCCAGAACTGGTAGAGCAGGTTAAACTGTTGGTGCACGTAGTAGGCCGACGGGGGGACGATCAGTGCCATTGGGAAGTACACACACTGTAGACAAAGCGGAGGTTTAGTTTTATTTGTTGACAGATCTAGTAAGAAAAGGAACACAGAATGTCCACTAACAGCTTGACTATTAACATATGTCAAGCGTGCTGACAAAATGAGTTACTTCTCGGAATCGAGCCCTATGGAAATCGGTACATCACGCTTATAGATGAAGTTTTTACAATTTATAAGCATGAAATAATAAAACCCATGTTATACTTAAATAATATGGCATCGGTAGAAAATATACAAAATAAACTCTAGTGTTGATTTTTGGTCAATATCTCCATCTGTGGATTGCAAGAAGTAACTCATTTTGTCAGCACGTCTCACATATCGTCACTCTGTTGCTTCTGTTTATAGCCGCATCATGATGGACAGGATATACCAGAGGCGTTGAGTCAGATAAAATTACACTTTCATAATTTATCCCTATTACATGACTCAATTAAAAAGCACTATAATTCACCTTAATGTAACAGCGATGTAAACATGTTTTGAAAAAAAATCCAGATAATATATAGCGCGCGTGCACTGACTGAAATAAAAATACAGTATTACAACAAATAATCTGTATTTAGTATAATATACTAAATAGAGATTACATAATATTTATTGTTTATAGTAGACTTTTGTTAAAAGCTGGGGCCCAAATGGCAAGTTGGCCGCAAAAAATGAAAAAAATCCGGAAGATTTACATCTCTGAATGTAAGAATCCAATAAAGATATGTGTGCAATATCTCTTTCTACTCTGTAATTGTACCTATCATTTACCGTACGAACACACTATACTACTACTATCACTTTCAGTTTGGTAAAACCAGGGCCACTTACCATACTGTAATACATCTGAGAGAGAAAGAAGGAGGGGGGGGAACAGAGAGAGAGAG